ATCGGTAAATTCGTTGATTAGTCGAAAGGATCGGGTATACCTAATCCGTGACAGAAATTAAATAATTGTACTCTTCGTTTGACGATTGTCTCGTGTCGTACGAAACGTACACAGTTTTCAAACGTGTTGATTATATGCTTAATCACACGCTTAATTGAACAAAATCTCTCTTTTATTTCTCAAATGATCGAAACTCGACGAGCAACGGATGTCTCGAGCGCGATCGCGATAAAAATTCCTCGAATAGCAGCTCAATTAGGACTTTCTATGCGACCACAGGTGTGCCAGTTGCTCAACCAGTGGCGATAGGAGTTCCACATCCGGTCGCCGTAGGAGTACCACAGCCTTTTCCAGTTCACGTACCGGTCGCGAAGCCGGTGGCGATCCCCGTGGTGAAGACTGTGGCGATTCCAGTGGAGAAAAAGGTCCCGTTCCCCGTGGAGAAGGTGATACCTGTCCCGGTGGAGAAACACGTGCCCATAACGGTGGAGAAGCACATACCGGTCCCCGTGGAAAAGCCTTATCCCATTCACGTGCCTGTGTACAAACACGTGTTCCATCGGGTCAAGTCTCATGGTTACGGGTGGAGCCATTAAATAAAACGTCCCGACTTTATCTTTTAAAAGGATATTACGCGTGAACGGAGAACGAGAGCGTATATACTCGCGTCTCGATGCTACGAGAGAAGAGTAGATCGTCTTCCTTCGACGACGATAACGAGTTTCGTTTTGGACGCTTTGCTCGAGTGTAAATCGACGAGTGTAAAGGGATGCGACCAGATGAGATTCGCAACGCGCAAGAGGGAATGAAACAGCGTTTTCGAAGCTGTTTTATTCGTTCGTTCATCATGGTATCGTTTATCTATTTATGACCGTTTGTCTTGTTACCTTGTTGTACCAAATAAAAGATCGATTATTAATCGAGAGACTGTTTATTCATTTTCCCCCCTCTGTGTAACAGAGTCACCGCTACTTGATCGATTACGCGCGTGGCGAGCCTCTTTCTCTGGATGAAGAGCCACAGCCATCCGTCAGAATTAAAAAAAAAAATAACAGATAATTGTTACAGGTGTCTCGAAACGAGAGGA